CCCTAAATCCTCTCTCTCAAGTTTAAAGTTTCACAGATCTCTAGGGCAGGGGCAAAATGCCACCAGTCCCTTTGCATAGCAAGAGTGACCTTTACTCCAGTTCTCAACAAGTTCCTTATCTCCATCTGAGACCACCTCAGCCTTGGCTTTATTGTCCATATCACAATCAGTATTTTGGTAGAAACCATTCAACAAGTCTCTAGAAAGCTCCAAACTTTCCTACATCTTCCTGGTTTGTCGGCCCTCCAAGTCTCTAGGAAGTTCCAACCTTTCACACATTTTTCTGTCTTCTTCTGAGCCCTCCAAACTGTTCCACCTCTGCCTGTTACCCAATTCCAAAGTTGTGTCCACATTTTTGGCTATCTTTACAGCAGCACCCCACTCTCTGTGGTACCAAATTACTGTATTAGTCCATTTTCATACTTCTCTGAAGAAATACCCAGGATGGGGCAAGCTATGAAGAAAAAGAGGTTTAATGGACTCACAGTTCCACATGGCTGGGGAAGCCTTGCGCACTCATGGCAGAAAGTGAAGGAGGAGCAAAGTCACATCTCACATGGTGGCAGGCAAGAGAGAGTGTGCAGAGAAACTGCCCTTTATAAAACCATCAGATCTCATGAGACTTATTTACTATTATTACAAGAACAGCACAGGACAACCCACGCCCATGATTCAGTTACCTACCATGAGGTCCCTCCCATGACACATGGGGATTATGAAAGCTATAATTCAACATGAAATTTGGGTGGAGACAGAGCTAAACCATTTATCAGACAATGACACTTTTAAACACCAGCCAAGAACAAATGTGCCGGTCTACTGCTCCTGGTATCACTGGAACCACAACAACTATGTTCTTTGACTACATAGTTACATTTCATATTTGTTTGATTTTATGCTATAATTATAGAGACAATTTATGAGATTTTGCCAAATTAATTAACATATTGAGGAAAATAAATAAATAATGTTTCAGTACTTATTGAGTAGATTGTAATTCTATCTTTACTATATGCGGAACATAGAAGTTTTATGTGTGTGTGTGCATTGTGTGTGTGTGTCTGAGACAGACACAGAGAGAGAAAGAGAGAGAGAGAAATATACGCAGAAGAGCAGGAAAGAAAGAAAACATATATCTTACTCTTTGGAAAATCTACATATGACATATAGTAGTACAACCCTCAAAAACATATGATTCTTTTTTCTTTTTTAATTTTACTTTAAGTTCTGGGGTACATGTGCAGATCTTGCAGGATTGTTACATAGGTATACACATGCCATGGTGGTTTGTGGCCTCTATCCCCCCATCACTTACATTAGGTATTTTACCTAATGTTATCTGTCCCCAATCTCCCCACTCCCTGCTATCACTCCCCTAGCCCTCACCCCCCAACAGACCCCAGTTTGTGCCATGTCCATGTGTTCTCATTGTTCATCACCCACTTATGAGTGATAACATGTGGTGTTTGGTTTTCTGTTCTTGTGTCAGTTTGCTGAGAATGATGGTTTCCAGATTCATCCATGTCCCTGCAAAAGACATGAACTCATCCTCTTTTATGGCTGCATAGTATTCCATGGTGGATATGTGCCACATTTTTTTATCCAGTCTGTTATTGATGGGCATTTGGGTTGGTTCCAAGTCTTTGCTATTGTAAACAGCGCTGCAATTAACATACATGTGCATGTGTTTTTATAATTAATTGAGTATATACCCAATTAATTATATACCCAGTATATAATTAATATTCTTTGGGTATATACCTAGTAACGGGATTGCTGGGTCAAATGGAATTTCTATTTCTAGATCCTTGAGGAATCACCACACTGTCTTCCACAATGGTTGAACTAATTTACACTCCCACCAACAATGTAAAAGTGTTCCTATTTCTCCACATCCTCTCCAGCATCTGTTGTCTCCAGATTTTTTAATAATCACCATTCTAACTGGCATGAGATGGTATCTTAATGTGGTTTTGATTTGCACTTTTCTAATGACCAGTGATGATGAGCATTTTTTCATATTTTTGTTGGACACATAAATGTCTTCTTTTGAAAAGAGTCTGTTCATATCTTTTACCACCTTTTTGATGGGATTGTTTGAAAAACATATTATAAAAGTATCTATATGATTCTTTGTTGTCTAAATGGTACTTAAAATAAGGTGACTAAGTAGAACATCTTTGGAAACCAAAATATGGTTTACATCTTGGCTCCCCCATTTAATGTTTGAGTGAGTTCTGACAAGCATTAGGTCACATTATGGACCTTAGATTCTTCTTCTGTAAAACAGAGATGATAATCTAGAAACAACAACAACAACAACAAACAAACAAACAAACAAAAACCCACTTCTCAGGACTCCTGTGTGGATCCCATGAAATCTAGCCTATGAGTAGTACCTGACTTATATTAATTAATAGCTGTAGACCTTATGCTTCCTATATTTTTTCAAGCCTTGATATCCATAACATCACATTCTCCTAGTTCTCACCCTATTTCTCACTCATGGATACCAAAGCAGAGCATGGATGACTTTCATAATCTGTTCCTGCTGCCTTTTTAGTTTCATCTCCCAGCTAAGTCTTGTCAGAATTCACCAAACCATAACACCCAAAATGTCATTAAATTATGAGTTGTTTTATCCTCCATACCTCATGCTCTATTTTACTGTTTATAATACTCCTTGTTCACATCACCATTTCTCACATAGATATATATTTAGGTTGGTGCAAAAGTAATCGCAGTTTTTCTGACATTGAAAGTAATGGAAAAAACTGCAATTACTTTTGCACCAACTGAATAAAACCTCTATCCCCAGACTTTTTGGGAAATTGGGGAAGAGGGAAGTAGGGTGTATAATCTCTGAGCTGCGAGCACATGATTGTGGAATGGAGAGCAGACACATTAGCAGAAAATACTTGTTCCTACAATTATTAACAGATTATCAGCTGGTTGAGCCAATCCAAATGTGACAAAATCTAAAGAAAACAAATTAAACACCAAGCATGTTAGCCCCAAGAGAAATCACATTATGAAAGAATTTTACAAAGTAAAAGAAAGCAAAAAATGAAGAAATCAGTGTTGTATTTTTAATTAGGCCCATGGGCTTCAATATGAACAAACCAGATGCAAATAAAGCCTTCAACGCAGGGCAATAAAACCTACCACACTAACATCCATCAAGGATTTGCCCCCTTTCTTTCCCTAAATCTTGGGCAGAGTACACAAATGGTTTCCCTACAATAAATATAAGCTAATAGATTAACAATAATAAGTGAGTACAATTTATTTCATAGAAATTCTGAAGTGAAAGAGAAGCTCTTGAGGAATTCTTTTCTAGAATACCTCATTTATCTCAATGAGATCAGAAATGGGATGCCCAAAGAAAGGAAGGCAAGGACAGCATTGGAGAGTAGAGAACAATAAGAGGATCTGATCATATTCACTACTATGGGAAAATCAGATAACGAGTTAGCCAGTCACCAGAAAAATGATTTGCCAGTATTAAGACTCTAGGGAATGCTTATGGTCTTAATTCCTTGTTTATCTGGTTGTACAGAAAAGTATTTTGTTGCTCATCTATGATTTGCAAAGTTTCTAAATTAGTTCCAATAGCTCTAATTTATCCCAAATCTGCTGATTGAAATGGAGTTTTGTGAAATATGTAAGAAGAGAATATTTAGAAAAATGGTGAGGAATTCCAGATAAGAACAAATAATACTCAGGACTGAAAGGAAATGCTTAACAAAAAGAAAAGAAAACTATCATATGAATCATTCTACTCCCTCTAGAGAATGTGTTCAAGTCTTATCGTCCCGTTTGCCAACCAGGCTTCAACACATTGGCACTGTGAAGTTATGTTCATGCCCCTCTTAGAGGCAAATTATACCCCTATTTTCAGAAGCCACTTAGCTCCCATAATATTTAGTGAAACTATTTATTTCCTAACTCTGTTAATGTGGTGTGAGACTGCATTAGCTTTAAGACATTCATGGATAAGATATTAATGATTTTTACTGATGAGTTGAAAAGTACACACCACATAGAGCTTCAGGAAAGGTATGAATTTGTTGAATGCAGAGAAATACGATTAAACTTTTATGAAGAAGTTCAGTAACATACAAAAAGACAGAATGCCTTCCATGACAGACATGGAATTCAGTGCTTGAAAGTAGCCTCAAGCAATGTCACTGAATGTTTTTCACTGTGTCCTGGATACAGCTACACTTTGCCTTTAATGTGACATTCTTTTACTATCTGTTCCTCTCTCTTCTAATTGCAAACATATGAATCAGTCCTTTGACTACAAATATACAAGTGGCACCTCTAAATGTTAAGAAATGAGCACATAGAGAACATACACTGACATTAATTTTACTTATCACTGTAAGCCTTTTAAACAAACTTTATAGCTCTACACTTCAACCTCTTTCCATTTAGTCAGTCAAGTTATTTCAGGATATGATGTAAAAATGGTATTTCTCATCCTACAAGATAAGATATCCAGAAACATCATTTCACCAAGGTATATTTGAAATCTACTGACACCGTTAAAGCAACATGTAACAAAGCCATATTGTGGGGAAATCATTATGCTGATGTTTCTCACTTTCAGTTGATACTTATTTAGCATTTCCTTTGGGTTACTTCCTGTCCAAGTGCTTAGTAATTACCAATTCACTGTACTTTTCATGATGACAGTTGGGATAGGTTCTGCTATTAGCTCCATTTCACAGATGACGAAACTGAGAGGCTCAGAAGTAGTGTTAACAAAGCCAGGATGTAACCCTAGGCAGTCTAGCTCCAGAGTATAAATTGGTAGCCACTATTATGCTGCTTTTTTGTAAGAGCACACTTACATTTGGAACTTTAGAAAGAATCTTTATGTCCAAGTTTATTATATTAGATCCCTCTGTTTTTAACATTTTACAACGGTGTAAAATATAAACACGGTATTCTTTAATGTCAGATACAAAATAATCTACATTTAGATATCTTACCAGTTTTGTGTATTATCACAGAAAAGAAGATTGGTAAAAAACGACACAGGCTTAGGTGAGTTGAGCGTGAGGCAGCAAGTCATCTTATTATTAATTCCATTGGGAGAGCCTCGGATGATGCTGCCTTTTGGAAATTTCACAGTAAGAGGCTGAATTTCTTGGCCATCAAGAAGCCTTACTGTGGGAATCTGGACACGTAGAGTTGACATTCTGTTTAAAAATTTTAAAAAAATGTTTCATTAGCTCAAAATACCTGCAAGTAATTGGCTCTAAATGTATATTTCATTTTTTTGAATCCTCAGGAAAATTACAAAAAAAGTATTTGTAATCATGTGCCCAATTATTAAAGATATCTTTGTGACATCTCATTTTCTGGTCACAATATAAGATGGATGATATTTTAATTTAACTAAGAACCACTTGAGATAATCAAATGTTCCTTTCAAAATACCAATGACATTCTTCACAGAAATAGGAAAAAAATTCTGAAATTGATATGAAACCACACACAAAAAACAGAGTAGCCAAAGCAACGCTAAGTAAAAAGCCCAAAACTGGACAGATTATATTTCCTGACTTCAAATTATACTACATAGGTATGGTAACCAAAACAGCATGGTACTGGTATAAAAACAGCCACTTAAAACAATGGAACAGAATAGAGAAATCAGAAACAAATGCACACAAATACCATGAGCTTATTTTTGACAAAGATGCCAAGAACATACACTGGAGAAAAAACACTATTCAGAAAATGGTGGCAGAAAAACTGAATATTTATAAGTGGAAGAATGAATCTACATACCCATCTTTCATCCTATATACAAAAATCAAATTAAAATGGATTGACTTAAAACATAAGACCTCAAACTTTAAAACTACTACAAGAAAACCATGTGGAAATCTCCAGGACATTAGGCTGGGCAAAAATTTCTTGAAAAATACCCTAGAAGCACAGTAAACCAAAGCAACAGTGGACAAATGGGATCACAGCCAGTTAAACAACCTCTGTACAGCAAGAGATACAGTCAACAAAGTGAAAATACAATGCACAGAATGGGAGAAAATATTTGCATACTACACATCTGACAAGGGATTAGTAACCAGAAGACATATGAAGCTCAAACAACCCTATAGGAAAAAAAAACCTTATAGTCCAATTTAATAATGGGCAAAAAAATTGTATAGACATTTCTCAAAAGAAGACATAAAAATGGTGGGCCAGGCATGGCGACTCATGCCTATAATCCTAGCACTTTGGGAGGCCGAGCAGGGCAGATCACCTGAGGTCAGGGGTTTGAGATCAGGCTGGCCAACATGGTGAAAACCCGTCTCTACTAAAAATATAAAAATTAGCCTGGCATGGTGGCGGGTGCCTGTAATCCCAGCTAGTCAGGAGGCTAAGGCAGAAGAATCGCTTGAACCTGGAGGCGGAGGTTGCAGTGAGCCAAGCTCCCACCACTACACTCCAGCCTGGGTGACAGAGCAAGATTCTGTCTCAAAAAAAAAAGAAAAAAGAAAAAGAAGAAGGAGAAGTCATACATATGGCCAACAGGGATATGAAAATGTGTTCAACATAAATGATCATTAGAGAAATGCAAATCAAAACTACAATGAAATATCATCTCACCCCAATTAAAATGGCGTTTGCCACCACACCCGGCTAGCTATTCTTGATCCTTACCCTTCCATATAAAGTTAAAATTTTCAATCTCCATGAAAACTTTAGTTGAATTTTTATTAAAATCACATGAGATATGTGAATTTATTTGTGGAAAACTTTTTTTTTACAGCATTGAACATTCCAATCCATGAATATGGGTGTATTTATTTATGAGTTCTTTAACTTAAGTTTTATAATTTTCTTTATACAGTTCCATACAGTTCATTCATATCTTTTGTTCAGTTTTATCTATTATCTTTTAAACTTTGATGTTATTATAAATAGTAATTTAAAGTTGTGTGCTGTATGTATGCTGAAATTATATTGAATTTTAAATATTAAAATTATGTTTGCCTATTTTGATAAGTGATCTTCCCAGTTTTAAAAAAATTCCTGTAGATTCTTTGAATTTCCTCCATGAAAAAATAATGTAATATACAGACAATGACATTTCTGAGTTTTATTTCCTAACCCTTATACATTTTGTTTTTCTCATCCCCCTGCCATATGTTAGGTTCTCTATTAAAATGCTTGAGGGAAGCAGTGATAATAAGCACCGTTGATTTTTCTTTTGTTAAAAGGTAATTCATGTATATTCCAGTATCAATAATTATATTTGCTCTAGGCTTATATGACAGGATCTTAAACAATTAAAGAACATCTAAACATTTTATTACTGTTTGTTGAGAGTTTTTCCATGAATGATGTAAAAATTTTATCAAATGCCTTTATTCTCAACCTATGAAAATTGTCATATCATTATTCTCTTTAATTTGTGAATGTGATAGATAATACAAAATGACACTTTAGATCTTTCGATGATAGACAAGCCTTGAAATACTGGAATACAAACAATTTGGTCATGATCTATCTTATATTCACATGGTTTGATTCTTTTTGGACAATTATATGTTTGTTCATAACACAGCTTAGGCAATAATTCATCTTTCTTATACTGCCATTTCCTGATTTCATAATAGAAATTTCTGAGATCATAAAACAAATTAGGGCACATTATCTATTATTCTATAGTTTGATATATCTGTTTCCTGAAAGTTCAGTAAAACTTGACTGTAAAATCATCAGAGGATGTTTTCTTACAAAATTTCAAGTATTGACTCAAAGGCTTTCTATTTATTCCCAGTATATTTTTAGTAAATTATACATTTCTACAACTTTCACATTTAAGTTTTCACATGTATTGGAATAGATCTCCTTGTAGTATTTTGATTATCTCATTTTTTCTTTGGATTTATGGTTATGTTTCCTTATTTCTAACATTATTTAACTGCCTCTTCTCTGTTTTGTTCCTAGTCAAATTCACTGTATTAGTATCCATTATATCAGTCTTTCAAAGAAGAAACTTTTGGTTCCAATGAGTTTCTGTTTTGTATATTTTTTTATATTCCTTTAATTACTACTGTGTAGAAATTAAAATTCTACCTTCTACACTACATGAGTTTAGCCTAAGATTCTATTTTTTTAATCTTACTTCTTAAGTTCAATGTTTAAAATTTCTAATCATTTTTTTTCTTTCCTAATATCAGTATTTCACATTGCATGTTTCCATGTATGGATAATCTTACTGTACTTTATTAAGGTATTTTTCTTCAATCACTGAAATTTTGATGTTTATTTAATAAAACAGATAAAGTAAACAATGATGCAGGCCTAATTGTTTTTCTAAAAAAAGCAGTAGAAGTCCTAGTAGCTGTTTTAAGTTTAGTTTTCAGCTCTAATGTCCAGATGGTGTTTACAGTACTTGATTGTATTATACATTCATGACTCTCAGTGAATGTTTTAAAGATTTGGAATCTAGTATTTTAATTATTATTTATTTGCGAAATTCAGTATGATTTCTTCTTTCACTCTCTGTAGAATTTTTTTAACATTTTCTAACTCATGGTTGATCTTGTTATCTTTACTGACTTTTAATTTATTATATTTATTTTTGGAGAATGTAGTCTATATTATGTCAGCTCTTTAAAAATTTTTGAGACTTGACTTATAACTATAGAATCATACATTGTCAATTTTTATAAATGTCTCATGATTGATTAAAAATGTGTATTCTCTAATTGAAAGGTACAATTTTTACATGTTAAATGAATGAAGCTTGTTACAAATATTGTTCAAATATCTTGTCTCTGGACTCATCAACACTTCTGATACATGTTTTAATATCCTAGAGGTATGAAGGACTAGTCAAATTTCCCCAATTTAAATTTGGAAGTTACATATTTTAAGACAATTTTAATTATGCATAGAATTTTAGAATTCTGTTGGCTTCCAGGTGAATTTAATCTTTTACAATTATTTGATTACTTTTACATCTTAAAAACATACTTTACCTATTAAAGTTTATTGCATTTGAAATTAATACTGCTACCCAGCTTTATTTTGGTTATGCTGTTATATCTCTTCCTATCATTTCACTTTGGTGCTTCTCAACTGAGAGTGATTTTGTTCCCCAGGAGCCATGTAGCAATGTGTGGAGATATATATTTTTTGTCACATCAAGGGGAGGATTGCTCTTGGGTAGAGGCTATGGACGCTGCTAAACATTCCACAACAAACAACATATCCTCTCACAATACACACACATATATATATATATATATATATATATATATGTGTGTGTGTATATATATATATATATATATATGTATGTATATAATGTATATATATGTATATACATACATTCATCAATATATATAAATGTATATATATAAATATATGTATATATATGTATATATACATATATATGTATAGGGACCTTTCAGGTATAATTAAGGTCTCTGATTAATTGACTTTGAATAAAACAAGAGAGAGATTATCATGGATGGTTCTGACACAATTAGTTGAGATCATAAAAAAAGGTTTGAAAGTCAGAGGCAGCGAAGTCTGATAGATGGTATACTTTTGGCCTTGAATTAGTTGTATACTATGTTGTGAGGATGTGACCACATGGCTAGGACTTGAGGGTGGACTGAGTGTGTCCCTAGTCAATAAATGATGCTTTAGTTCTATAAGGACCATGAAATTAATTCTGTCAACAACTTGAGAGGTTGGAGGAAGATTGAGCCTCAAGTGAAAGTGCCACTCCAGCCAACACCTTGACTTCTGCTTATTAAGACACTCAGCAGAGGATACAGCTAAGCCAGCTGGACTACTAAGTCAGAGAAACTGCAAGATAATAAACAAATTCATGTTGTTTGAGACATCAAATGCA